GAAAAATGATTTTTGTTCATTAATATTTGAAAATCAATATTAATTAAGTAATTTTCAATTTCAATGTGTGTATGTACCGTTTTTTTTACATATTTCCACTTGCAATAATAATTTATTTTTTGGATTTTATGGTCAAAAGATTAAACAAAAAACCACAATAGCACTAACAAATTACTAAAACATGTACAAAATAATTGCAAGATATTTTAAATATTAATCTACTATTATATAATATAGTAATTATTACTAAAAACCTTGACTCATCTGTACACTTGAAACGTGACTACAGTTTCCTTCATATTTTTTTAATTCTTTTTTCTATTTCATTTTATTCAGAGTAATACGTTTGTACTTTTTAAGTCCGAACTTCTTTCTCTCTCTCCCCCCGTACTTGCCTCCTCCCCTCCATTCTAAATAATTTATCGAACTTTTAATAATAATGAAATATAATTACAATTTTCCCTTCACGATTTTGATCTCTTCGTTAAAAATTTTTCCAAAACATTTTCTAAAATCTTTTCTTCCATATTGAAACAATGTTGTAGAAAAATTATATTAAAACCAAAAAAATTAATAAAAAACAAAAAAAAACATTATGTAATATTAAAAAATAATTAAATAATTTCATATTAGATCACCTTCATAGCTTTCAGATAAAAATGTACAAATGTTTTTTTGAATATAAGAGAAAAAACCAAAAAAAAAAAAAATCAATGCTCACGTCTCTGGCTGGAATACAAATAACACCTTCATAGTGGTAAAAGCGAAACAAAAGATAATTTAAAAGAAAAATGAAAACAAAAAAGAAAAACAAATGCGTAGTAGTTGCGCTTTAAGTGCAAAAAGAAAAAAAAAAAAACAAAATCTAAATCCGTTAGTGTCTATGTCCACTAAAAAGAAATCAAATAAAGAAAAATAAACAAAATAAAAAATTAGAAAATGGATAGAAAAATATTCAGGCATCTAAAAGAATTTCAAAATATTTGTAGCTTGTCAACTACAGGGTAAATTAAAAATCTCTAAAGTAGCTACATATTTTAAATTCGACTTTGACGGTAACTCCGAGTCGTCCAATTTTAATAATGAAATCCAGTGCCGGACGGGAATAACATGTTCCTTTATCTGGTTAGAACAGCGTCTACAGAGGTAATTTGTAAACCGACCAATTATTCTTCTGATATATTCATCAATCAGACAACGTTCTTTTAGAATTTTTATTATATCGTGGATATCCCAAATCTGTGCTACTTAAATTTTTCCTCTTTTTTTTGCTACATTAACTGCTACATTCCATTTACTCATGTGAAATTAGTTTGTTTTATTGCTAATCTATTGCGCAGCAACAGTTTATGAATATTTGCAGAAATCCAATGCTCTACATTTTAGGTAAAATTGCGATAGTTGCTCCATGTTTCTCAAGTTTATCAGCCTCACAATTTCCTAGAACTCTACTTTGTTAATTTCAAACTGTCTCACCATTTCGTTATTGTTGTGAAAGTTTAAAAATTTAACGCGCTTATTAGCTATCACTGAAGATAAACCAGATTTTTGCATAATTCATTCTGTGCATCCCTAATTCATTTGAACCATATTTGTCTGAAAGATGCTGTCTCTAAAATAATCTGTTGCCAATTACAAATTCAAAAAAATTTTGAGTTCTAAACCGGACAATCAAATATTATACAGCGTATTTAACTTAAACTTATTTTTACTAAAAGTCAAACAAGCGGCAACAAACAAAATTCATAGATAAAGAAAAAAAAAAATAAACAAAATATTAAAAAATTTTTAATCATTTATCATTGAGTAGGTTACAAGTATACAACACTGATATTTTATTTGCACAGACAACAATATTTTTTTTTTGATAGCGTAATTAAAATGTATTCAATCATCGTCATCAATGACCAACTGACTTATAAGCTCAAATATCAAATCAAACATAAAAAACACGCAAAACAAAAAAAAAATTTAAAAATTAATTTTTTTTTGTATTCAAAGTTGACCATTTAAAATAATAAATTTTGCTTATACCGCCATCTCTTAAAGAGAATTATAATCATTTAGTATCCATTAATTTCTTGTAAAAGAACGATTACTTATCTCGCAAAGTACGAGTGTATTTTGCACGAGTACAAGTATTCCATAAAGTCATTAAAATGTAGTATGTTTTAAATGACATGACGTATCAGGTATCGGGTATGTCAGTACATATTTTTTAAAAAAAAAAAAAAAATTGGGGGGAAAAAAACTGTGCCAATGGTAAAAATACAAATTAATTTCTTAAAACAAAAAAACAAAAATTATTTAAAATATTACAAAATGGAATTATTAATCTGACAGATAAAATAATTAGAAAAATATGAAGAACACAGAAAAAAAATAAAATTTATATTAAACAAAAAAAAAAAGAAATGATTGTTTTACACTTGTATAGCCAGAGGTGGATTTTGATTTTTCCATTATTATTGTAAAATTATTAATGAAAATGTAAAAATTAAAAGTATTGTTGATTTTTTTCTTTCTATAATTTTAATTTAATTTGATTTTAATTCAATCGTCGTGTTTAACTGTACACTTACATAATAATTCTAACCTCTTTTTATGATAAAATCTATACAATTCTTAGTTAATTTAATAAATGTAGTAGCATTTATTTGCTTATGTACATTTTAATTTTGGATTTACATATATAAATCCAAATCACTACGGTGAATATACAACCACCTAATTGCATTGATGTGCAGTATGCTTACAAAATATTGCACTAATAAAATTATTTGACATTTTAAATTTGTTAATAATTTCATTTAAAATTTGCCTCATGACTCAAGCAGTTTTGATCTATAACTTAAGGAATGTTTTTCGAATTTTGTTTTGATTACGGTAAATATCGTGGGAATTATGGAAGAGTTACGAAACTACTTTTTTTGTGTTTCGAGAGAAACACATTTGTATGCAATAATGTATGCAACAAAATGTATGCAATAATGTTAATTGGCAGTTACATATAAAATTTACGTTATTTTTCCGAAAATACTTACGTTATAGTTACGTGGGTTTTTTATAAAGATGTTTTAGCAAATTCTGAATTTTTTTTGTATATATAACTCAAAACTCTTAAAAAGGCAGTTTCGTGACTCTTCCATAATACCGACGATATCTAATTGCAATTTTAATTTTTTTTAATTTTTCAAGTTAGCTTAAAAAATTTTTGAATTCATTTTGGACTCGAACGGAGAAGTCGCCTTTTGTTAACGTTTCAATCGCTATAATAATGAAAACATTTTGTTTAGTCCACCTCTAAATACTCGAATATGTCTAGGTATTTCAAAAGTACCTCAATTCACTCCTGTTCTTATTTAAAACACTATAATTTTCAAAATTAAAATTTTTCTATTATAAATCGTGCTTCAAAAGTGTGTCCATCTTAACATTTTCAAATCAACATCTTTAATATTTTAACTATAGCCATAGATGAATCAAACTGACAAAGCAACATCTAAATCTATTACTTAATAATTTTATAATGTCATTGAAAAATTTTTTTTGTAGTTCTGTTCAATTTTCGATTAAATACACGAAATTAAAACAAAAAAAACCTTAACAAAAACTTAGCATTTAGCAAAAATTCAATTCATCAGTCATCATCATAAATTCAGTAATTTGAATGTGATGTTCATCACTTTATTCACCTACTAAAGCTGATAATTAATCAATCGGTTTGTCTTTTTTTCTTTTTAAAAAATCAAAATTAAGAAAAAAAGCGCGCACACACAATAATCAAAATTTACCGTTAAATTATGATTGTTTTATCATTTATTTTTATTTTGTTGTCATTTTTGTTTTAATAAAACGGTAATTATTAAATTGGAGACAAAAGCTGAAATCATTTTGTTGGTCGGCAGACAAATGATGACGGTATATTATTGATGTCTTCTATATTGCTGCTTTGTTTTTACTGTCACGCAATTCCATATATTGAGATGCCATTCAATGGCGAATTTTTACATTACCGTTGCGTGCGTAGGGGATCAATTCAGTTTTCATTTGTATGGGCATTATAAGAAGAAGAAAGAACGAAGAAAATTAAAATTAATGAAATTAATTAACAGGTTGAACGCATTGTTTTGTAATGCGGCTATACGTTTATTTTAATTCACTGTAGGAGGCTTTTAATGTAGAATTAATTTTTTGCTATCTTAATTTTTTTTTCATAGTGTTAAGTGCGTCTTCTTCAATAATATGATATGCAAGAATGGGGAAAAACAAATATACAAAATAGTTTTACACTTTTTAGTTTGGTAAATGGCATTTGGTGTTGCCGTTTGTGATACCAAAGTGCATACAATTTCTAGCGTTCTATATCGTTTTGAAAATATAATAATACTTTAAAATTACATTGTATAAATAATTCGAGTTGATTCATTTCGGTAGGTGTTCTTACATTTTTCTATGCAAAATAAACGTGCCTAAATGCCTAACTGTGGAAACTAATATTGTCTGGGTTAAAAATAAAATGAAACTACTCGGAAAAGCGGCTATTTTTTTTTGTAATGCAGCACATCACACTGCTGCCCAATATTATAAGAGAATATGTATTGTATTATAACAGTAATTATAAACTTTGTGATATGAGTAAAAATTTAAGAGAAATATTTAAGACACAGAAATAACTTAGTATTCAATAAGTAAACAGATTTTTTATTCTTCTGGTTTTTAAATAAATTTTGGTAATTAAGGGCCGCCACATTGATGACCCCGACTTAATACTCATTAGTCATTTCATTTACTCTTAAATGCAGCACAAGTATTATAATTGAAGTTATTTAAGTTGTGCAGTGACCTCATAAAAGGGCGCTAACCAAAATGCAGTTACTGCTGAAAAAGTCAAATTTTAACGTCATTCTGCATTTTAGCCATAATATAAAAATATATTAATTATCATAAATATTACTTAGAACATGCATTTTTTTACAAAATTTCTTCTTTTCTATTGCAGATCGACTTAGACTTATTTTATGTATATGTATATAGGACCAAATTAAATGGTAAGTTACTACTTAATACATTAATTATATTTTGTAGTAGTAAATAATTTTTTTAAGTGTAATTTCAAAAATTAGAAGTATCAGGGCGAAAAACGAAAAAAAGAGTCCTAGGACCTAGGTCATAGTGCGTGTTTTATAGCTGAGACGAGTTTAACAAACTCTCGTTTTATTGTAAATTTTAAAAATTATTGAGTTTTCTTCTCATTCTATTTTAATAAGACATTTTAGCAAACATCCATTCACAATAATTATTTTACATTTAAGTCAAATTTAAATATATTTTCTGTAATATTTTAATTTTTCCACAATTTAAATTCCAATATTTTTATGACTTAGTCCTTATAAAGAAAGTTTAATAAATTTCATTTCTATCCAATTGAAACAAAAATTTAAATTGCATTCCATTCAAATGTAATGTAATCCCCAGCCGAAGTAAAAATGGCTGGGGATTACATTACATTTCAAATTAAAATTTGCAAAATGCCACTGCATTCAATGAACACATAAAAAATTTTAAATGATGACATCTTATTATGTCAGATTTTAATTAAAATCTTTTTTTTTAATCAATTCATAAATGAAAACTTTCTAATATTCAAAAATTTTGAAATTTATAAAGAAAGTATACAATATACGTACAACAATAAATCAAAACGCTCGCCATAACAAGTGGCAAAAACTCCATAATTTATTCATACTTATTTACTGCGCTTACAGCATATTGTTTGCATGATTGTACTGTTCATATTGTATATGCAAATACAAATTATGTACATACATACAAACATGCATTATGCTCGATACAGACTAGACTCTGCATAGTTTGCTTATTTTGTTAACAGATGGCTGATAAAATGCAAACTGAGAATGCTATTGCTCTTTTATTTATTTTTGTGTACTTAGTTGTTGTTTTTTATTGAAAAATTCCTGTAAATTTCAAGACCAAATTTGAAAAAACAAAAAAATAGAAAAAAAGAAATCCTTGTCATTTTGTTACAATACTACTTTCACAATAACAACAACAACAGCAGCAATAGTAAAAACAATAAAAGCAATAATTTTTAACAAGGCATTTGCCACAACAATAAAAACAACAATAAGAAAAACAAAGCAAGGTAACACCAGTGACATCTTCTTTTTTTTCTTGCATTTTTGCATTCAATTTCCAATTTCACCTTCTGTTAAAATGTCTAAATTTTCACAAAAAGAAAATTTAAGAAAAAAATTTGAAACGACCTTTCTTGTCCAAAATTTTTCTCTTCTTATTTTGTTTTTTTTTTAGTGGAAAAGTGAAAAACGCTTTTCCAAATAAAGATTTTTCACTTCTTTCCTTTTTATTTTCTTTTCTTGTTTGTTTTTATTTTTTTTTATTTAAATAATAATTCACGATTTTGTCTCCAATAAATCCTAAACACCAACCATATACAAACTCCTAAAATAATTTAAAGAAAATTTCAATTTCTTTTCATGCTCAAATTGGTCTTTTGCAATGTGCCCATGTGAGCATGTGTGTAAATTCATGTATTAAGTGAAAATATTGAAAGAAAATTTTAATTCTTTTAAAATTCCTTCCGAATTTGTATAATATGGAAATTTTTTTTAAGGTGGGATTAAAAACATTTTTTTTTTTGAATTTATCATTCTCCACAACAAATATTGGCAGTCATCATAAAATTTCGCAATTGGATTTTTTTTTGTTTCGAAACTAATGTGGACTTGCCAGGGAGAAGCAGCGACTCCTTTCATTAAGCCATGCTTTGGGGTGCCCAGGACAACGCTCGTGCGTGTCCTGAGTGGATGGGAGGAGCGGGCTAGAGTTGAACACTGAAACATCTGCCTGGGCCTGGGAGGATGGGGAGTGGCCATGCTTGGTCGTTCAGATTTGAGGGTATTGATGTGGCTGCCATACTGCAATTTGTCATGGGCCTAGGTGCTGGGCTAATGTAGATGGGGATGAGAATCACAAAAGATCCTATGGGTCGACGTGAGAAGGGCCTAAAAGACGCGGTCTCCGGGAGGGAAAAAAAACACATGGACTTATGAAAATTGTAAATTTTTGAAATTTTAAAATTTGAAAGGCATCAAAAATTTTAAAAATATTCTTAAAATTCAAATGCAAATACCAAATTTTACGATCGCTATGTGCTAGCCTTTACGTGGACAATAAATTTAGAAAATTCAGTTATGCAGGCGTTTTTTTTAATTTTTTTTCTTCTTTAAATTAAAAAATAAATTTAATAAATTAAATACAATTTTTTATTCCTCACTATATTTTGTCGTCACTTTTTTTAATTTTTTAATTTCAATTGAAATTTTATATACACAAATGTAAATATGTTGAATTGAAAGACTATAATAAAATGCCATTAAACTTGAAATTTATTATTTTTTCACAGTTTTTTATTATAAAATATTTCGTAATAATTGAAATGTATGAGACAATATTAATAACGTAATAAAATTTACTAATATCTCTCGTATATTCAAATAATAAACAGTGATACCGACATAATAATGAGCGAAAACTTTTTCCCTCTCGCAAATTGATATGAGTGGGCTAATTGAGAGTTTTACAGTATCATATTTCTCACTATTTTGCTCACTGAGTAATGGTGAAAACAAGACCGATTTACCGCAGGGAAATATCAATTTCATAAGATATACACATATGTAAAGTGAGCTGTCCAAAATGATGCCAAATTACCACCACGAATTAATCCGACGGCTTAAGGTAATATTTATTCCTATTTTACCATTGGCGTTTTTTATAAAAGCATAATCGAAACTCTTTTTACTAGCTCGTCGACACTTACCCCGATAAAGAATCAATAATAGACACGTTTTATGTCTTCCGGTGAGAACAAAATAATATATATTATAATGAGCCTTTAAAATTTTAGTAAGATTTCGAAAACCGGAATGGCTTGTCATAAAAAAGACATTTTGTTTTTGGGATTAAAATCACCTGAATTTCAGTTACTGCAGATCTCTACTTTACTAATGAAGAACGAAAATAAATATTTTTTGTCCAGAATATTTTAGGAATTCTCTAAAGTTTTCATTTAACTGTAAAAGGTTACTCGTATTTCTCTCTGTTATCTTATAGTTTTTGCGTGACTTTTTACAATTAGCGAGCTAATAGTGTTTTGCTGAAGATTTACCCAATACTTTGTTTAATAATTTTATTTTGCACTGTACTTATTTTTATTGTCTTATTTCCTATTGTACATAGCACATTCAAATATTGAGTCCGATTAAAGTTTTGTTAATATTTTACTTTTAAGAGGTGCCTTTGATTCTGATTCAACATCAATATATTTTACTGGATACAGAAAGTATATAAATTTGTTTGGAATTGAAGGCAACAACGAAGTTTCACATTGAACACTATAGTAATAAAAATGGTGGTGAATCATATTTCAATTGGATTTATAATTTTCAATAGGGTCCTAATCTAACTATCTTCATCTTTGTAGCATCATCTCCTTAAATTCATTTTCATCTTCCTTTTCTTTCACCGTCTCTTCTTTTCGTACCAAAATGTTAATGGAGAGCATCATAAATTCAATTTCAAAATGCAGAAAAAGTCAAAAAAACAAAAGATGAAACAATGCAGATGTTAAGGTGAAAAGATCACATGTGAATTATTTAATCGAAATGAAAATGAATTTTTTTTTTAAATAAATCGGAAAATATTTTTGTAGTATTGAAAAAGATATTTTTTTTTTATAAAAATTTTCTTAAAGAAATTTTTTCTTTTTTTAATATTATTTATGAATTTATGGTACTGGTACGAGCACAAACCCTTACTGAATAAATGGAAGTAATTATAACGCCTACCTATCGTATTAAATTTGAAAATTTTTTATGAAAAAATAAAAGAAAGATTTTCTATGGAAAAATTTTCCGGTTTCAAGCAAAAAAAAAATTCATGAATTTTGTTTTTTAATAAAACAATTTTAAAATAGAAATTCTACGTGAAAAATTTATCATAAATTTTTGGAAATACAAACGAGAGGCAAGAAGGATAGTATCTTTTTTATAGGTATTAAGATGGTCCCCATATGGTCTACATATTCAAGATGGTTAACAGCAATAGATTGTATTTGGTTAAAATCAGAATATGAAGGGAAGGAGCCGAAAACAAGATTGACATCAGATGTTGTTGAAAAAAATTGAAATAATATTGGCATTGTGGTCTTTTATATTAATAATATTTTCCATAGTTTAATATTTGAGTTATGTGTATGGCTTTTGTATCTGTATAATTACTTACCAGCAATTGTTAAGTATAACTGTTATACGAAATCTAATTCAATGTTCGATTAAACTCAAAATAGCACAAATCCTCTCGTACATAAATATTTTAAATTAACAACGGGATTTCTATGTCAATCCCAAAATTTTAAGACCGGATTTGGGTTTTTTAAATTCAAACTGCATGTTGGCCCCGATATTACCCTTTGTAATAAGAATAAATTAATTTTCTCAATATTTTTTCAAGATCAGATGATACGAGTCTGACCCCGTGATTTGTTTTCCTCTGCCCGCGTCTGCTTTCACTTACATCCTGCAAAATACTGTAGGAATATTACTCGTAAATAAATGGTTGCATTATAAACTTTAAAAATATTTAAAATAAATTAAAAAATTTTTAAAAATGATTGTTGACTATCGCAAAATTTTTATTATACCTTTACTTTGTCAATTCCTAGATCTCCTCCCGTTTAGCTTATATTTTTAGGTATTTTATAATCAATGAGAAAAATAAAAATCACAAAAAAACAATTGCAATATATTTTGCCATCTTGTTATGTGCATACATACAATAATTTTTAACCTCTAGACATTATTTTTCGATCATAAATTTCCTAAAAAAATATAATGTTATAGAAGAAAAGCTAAGCAAAAAAAATATCTGCCCCTATTTAAGAAATTCTATGATAATAATCTTTAAAGGAACCCACCATATTTTAGAAAAAGGAAAAAACAAAAAATCT